GTGTTCCACCCCACACCCCTCTAGCGACACCCTTGGGCTTGGGAAGCTATATCTTGCAATGTTATGTAAGCAAAGACCAAACTGCAGAGTTGGTCGCACTCGATATTTTTAGGCAGAAATTTTAATCTGCGGCCCTCATGCAAATTAACATGTATCTAGCTACTTTTGTGCTCTTGACTGCATCTTGATGCGCACTTGGGAACTGTTTTGCGCAAATGCACTTCGATATTCTAACATTTGCGCACCCGAGATCTCGTAGAGAAGTGCCCAACTCTGCAGTCTGGAGCAAGGACAGTTGCTCACAAACTGAATTCTAGCTTCGAGATTGTCTCTTTGAATTCAAAAAGATACTCCTCTTGGCACTTGTCATCTTAATGGGTTTCATTCAAACACAAGACTATACCTTATCTTAAATAAAAATAATTATTAACATTTTTTCCCATTGTGACATATCTACCGGTAGACTGCCATCAGCTCCACGATAGTGCCACAGAATAAAGACCTATCAAGAAGGGTCACTTACGTCGGAAGCTTTGACGTTTCTGTCCTCGCGCATGGTCGCATTACGCATGTTGTCCGCCATTTTCCTAGCCAGTCAGTGACATTTTCTGTCCAATAAACACGCTGTACTGACTGGCTGCTCCGCCTTCTGGCCAGTAAACTGCATATTTTTGCATACAAAACGACGACACGTTGCACCGCTGAGTGGCCTTTCTGTTACTGATCTTTATTCTGTGACAGTGCTTAGTACCCACCTCAGAATTTTTTATCTTATTGTCAATTTCAGGTCACGTTTTCAAAGCGCGGTTCTCATATTTGTTGGGCCAACCCCAATTACGTTTCCAAATTCGGAATTTGCAAACTTGCTTGCTGACATCCCTTCGGAAATTAGCCTATGCTGAAGGGGTCAGCGTGGTAAATATAGTTTAAAGAAATAATTGCTAAAGTAATGAACATATAAGCTCGTATTAATTCTGGAGTGTTTTACTGATATAGCCAAAGAATTAAACGAATTTCTTAAGGTCGATTTTATATACTGCCTAAAACTGTCGAATGCAACCTGCTTACAACTTGTACTGTGTAAATAGTTGTACTGGGTAAATCAATATACAACTCATCTACGACAACGTGGGCGAATTGTGTGCTTGATTACACAGTACAACTCAAGTTGTAAGTAGGTTGCTTGCGACAGTTTTAGGCAAAAGTTGTGTACTGTAAATCGACCTTAAACGTCAATAAAAAATTCGTCAAATATGTTGGCTATGTTAGTAAAACACGAGAAATTACGAGTTTACGTTCAGTACTTCGGCACTTTAGTAAACAACTTGCGAAACGGCTTTCCAATATTCCGAATTTAGAAACGAAATTGGGAGCATCCACAATAAGCTATATAGAGAGCGCTCTTTGAAAGGCGACCTGACATCGACAATAATATCTGCTGTTTAATCTGTCTTATACTTGGTCCATTTTATCAGCGTCTCAGGCGAGCGATAGAGGAACATTAATTTCGCAAATAAGTCTTCCTCCAGTTCAAATTCCTTCGTCTCCCTCACCATGTAAATATCTAGGCACAACTTGAACACTTTATCAACATCCGGCATCTCGTCAAACATGATACGATACGATATGGATGTGAAGAATAAACGGACAAACTTGCCAACCAACCACACAAACCCAACGTACAAACCAATAATCCTGTCAATCATTGAAATATAACGGAATTACGGGAGTGTATTTAGTTATCAGTGGAATTGTTTTCTCACTGGTCTCATATGGAAAAAGTTAATTTCTTCGCTTATCTACAGGGCGTAGATTTTCAGCAGAAATGCGTCGATGGCGCCTGAATTTAAAGAATGAGTACAGTTGAACCTCCATTAGGTAGACACACCCTTGCGGCCGAGTCATTCGCCTGTATTCCAAAATCTCACTCACGCTCACACTCAAAGACTGGAGGTTCACTCTCAGCTTCACTTGAGTGCCAGTGCTGTTTTTGAATAGCTGGATGGTTAATGTCGTACCTTACCATGTGACTACTCACCCTCCAGCTATTCAAAAACAGCACTGACACTCTAGGGAAGCTCACGTTGAACCTCCACTCTTTGAGCGTGAGTGAGCTTTTAGAATACAGGCGATTGTGTCCGCTTAGGGGCGGACCATTCCATTCAAAAAAGAGATGAGAGGGGACAGGTGGGGGCTGGGAGGGAAACAAAAAATCGCGCAAAGGAAAAGAAAAAAAGATTCTTGCAAAAAGGAAAGCAAAGAAAAATATTCGTGCAAGCCGAAAATCCGCCCATCTCTTTTCTAATGGTCCGCCCTTTACGACGGGAGGTGTCGTCGTCTTATGTGAGGTTCATTGATATTTAATTAATAATTACTGTCATCTGCTAAAGACTATTTTTTAAAGGAAGCAAAATGCAAACTGTCCATTTAGAGGAGCGTTGAAATGCTACTTGGGATTTTCGTTTTGGTATCCGCTTAAGAACAGAACATGTGGTTAGAGCTCGACAACCGAACTCTGCAGCTCAGTTGGCTCAGCTCAGTTGCATTGGCATTGCAGTCGTTTTGCCCGCTCATGCGGAGCGGGCTTTGAAAATCTGCTCATGCGGGCGTGACGGGCGTCAAAAACAATCAACGCTTAGCCCACGCGGGCAAAGCGAATGTTAATGAAAACGGCCTTTAGAGCGCTTGCACCTGAATCGCAGGGCCGCAGGTTTGCAACTGCTGTTGGTTATGTCCAATAAATGTACAAAATTTACACTTGAAATTTTTGAATAGGCAATTCCAGCTGTAGACTAAATTTTGGTCTAGGCAAGAAGAACAAAATCCATCACCACAGCTAGAAAGAGCATGTTAAAATTAGTAAAATTACAGAGTTTGGCCGCGAAATGTTGTAAAATGCGGTCAATATAGCCCTGCGAAATGTGCAAATTTTGTATTAATTTGTATTACGCGCGGGAAATGCACCACATTTGGGCTGAAAGTGGTGCATTTTCCCGTGCCTAATATACAAATTAATACAAAATTTGCAAATTTCGTAGGGCTATATTTTCCTCATTTTACAACAATTCGCGCCCAAACTTTGCAATTTTACTAATTTTAACATGCTCTTTCCAGCTGTGGTGATGGATTTTGTTCTTTTTGCTCAGATCAAAATTTAGTCTATAGTCCATTCCTTCTACAAAACACATCTATCGAGTGAGTAAAACAATACTCATTTGGCTTGTACTCGAGAATTGTGTCTATATTAAGTGTGTACTTAATATATTGTGTATATATTAAGAGAGGGTCGACAGTTGTTAAAATTTAGCTTCTTGAACCCCTTTTTTTCTTTTCTGGTTGTACTTTCTTCCTCAAAGTTTTAAATTCCCTATGCATAATATACGGCGCGCATCCACGCTAACATTCAGGATGAAAACACCGTCGTTTTCATTGATTCACAGGATAAAAAAATCACTTGGAGTACCGTTATAAATCCGCCATATTGAACTTGACAAAGAGTTTGGAGGCGGGAAATTGTACGCAAGAATGAACTTTCGAGAAGACTACAAAGAGTTTCGAGTAGTACAAAATGTACAAGGAAAAGAATCAATATTTTCTCCAGGAGGTTCGTAGCGACAATTGGGAAACGAGAAAAGTTTGAACGAACCGAAGGCGAAGCAAACTTGTTTAATTTGCATTTACAGTCAAAATACATGCAAGAACCTTCCCACTTCCACTTCTGTAGTCTGTTGACATTTTCTGCAATTTGTTCTGTATTACTGTAACGGTTACCGATTTATAGACATTTGTCTACAATACCGAGATAGAATTCAAGTTTCGCACCTTTCATGTGTTAAAATGCAGTGACTATAACGAAAAATGCATCCTTCGCTACAAATTTTCAAAGGAAAGTTAAATTTTGTCGCCATATTTTGATATTTGCTGATATTTTGGTAACTGCTATAGAGAAAACAGAACAATTTCCAGAAAATTACAACAAACTAGAGCAGCTAAACTGGGAAGGTTCTTGTATTTTGACTGCAAGTCCATGTTGTCTATTGTGAACTTCTAATTCCCACTTTAACCGACATACTTTAACCGCCATTTTGCGGAAAAATTTTTGAGGTAGAAGAAACGGATAATCCATTTTATATCTATCAAAATAAACACACAATAGTCAACGAATACTTACCCAGTGCTGGCAAAAAATGAAAAATGTAAGGGAGGGACAAAGTCGTTGAATGTAATGACTTCGAGGTCAGATGTCGATTGACCTGAATCAAATATAGGCCTAGGTTTCTTTTGAGTAAGCTCCCACCATTCCACTTCCCCAGTAACATTGGGGACAGAGCCAACCCGGACTTTAATACCACAGTCAACATAACTTGCATTATATAGCTCAGTTAAAGCCGTAGCCTGCCCACTGGCTGGAACTCGAATGAATGTTGGGAATAGATTCTTGATTGTTCTAAAAAATAGATAACAGGCAAATTTAAAGTTTCCACTGCGCATCAAAAAGACCCTTTTTCAGGGCCGGCACTAAAGGGGGGGGGGGGAGGTTTACAACCCCCCCCCCCAGTCAGCGGGTAGTCGGCAAAATATTGAATACCAGTCGGCAAAACATGGATTTGGATAGGAAATATGAGTGACACCGATTAAAAATGAAGAATGATAGCTAAAAGGTGGAGAAATGCACGAAAATGTTTTGGGAAAATGGAAGAATTAACGATGGTTTTAACAAAAAACAAAAGAAGATTGAGAACTATGTTGTTTTTGAACCTCATCATCTATGTTGCATTAATTCAAAGATTTGTCTGTGACTTACATTTCATCCTGTCCTCTGCTAGCAGAATCCACCAACATCTTACCAAGATTTGTTCGTATCGTATCATTCGGACTGAGTACGATTGAATTCACTCCAGAAATAGTTTCTTGAACTAATGCAGTCAGTGGCTCTCTAAACAAAACATGACAGATGAATGGTATAGGAAGCAAAGGTCGAATAATGTGCTTATATATACAGTAGGCAACGAAATTTCTTTATGATGTCACATTGCATAATATCTCCATGAAAATGTTTTAAGCTGTTATAGATAACTGTTTCAAATTCTTCGACATCTAAAAAATATATGCAGTATGTTGACATAACAAATATAGATGATTTTATGATTTCGATGCACGATATCCCAAAATCTTGCATTTTTTTTCAGAAAGTCATTATGCAATGTGACGTCATGGTGTCAAGAACGAAGCAAGGTAAGAAATGGAAGAAGAGGGTAGAAATGAATGCCAAAAGTGGCTCACCTGGTGAATTCCCACTGGAAACGCAAAGTGACATTCGTATTATTAGACAGTAAATCATGAACCAAATATTTCCTTGATGGTGGACTGATTGTCCAGATTGAGCTCGAGTTACCACTCACACGAACTAACACGATATTTCCTTTGGCTTTGAAATTTTCCAGGTAACTATCAATCTAAAATCGAGAAGACGTGTAGATTGTCACACAGATTTGGCTATTACAACGAATCAAATTACAGTTGTTTTTTTTTAATTTACCCACGTAAATTACATTTCTTTTGGCGTTTACTTTAGCCCCTATTAGTTTAAATACAGCATTTTTACCAGACACCTATATAGCATTAATATTTCATTGAAATATTAATACAGTCTTTTAAGTCAGTCTTTTAAGCGTGCCCACGTGATTTTTAAAGCAGAGTAATGATCGACTTGACCGTTGCAAATTCGGGTAATTGTTCTTTTGCAATACGATAATCATCAACAAGAATCTTCACTAATTTTTCAGTGAGACGTATGTTTCACAAAAATATATATGGCTATCATCAGGCAATATACACATGATTACTTTAAACAGGATTATTATGGGAAATAGCTGAAAATGCCCTTCCCGGGCCTGTAATTTTTCCCCCAAAATATTCATGTCCAAAAACCCCCTAGGAAGGTTCGCCGCGAACTTATTTCATTCCAATACGACCTCCCTCCCATAGCCGAATCCTAATCCATAAATGTATTCTTTACCCTAACCTCACCTTAGCTCATTACTTACTCAATCCTAACTTACTCTTTCAATCCATTGCGTACGCTCTGAATAGTTAATGCAGATCTATTGATTTGTTTTGTATATTTTCGAAGAGAGATAAATAGTAAAATATGTGACCACAATATCGAGTTACTAAATGCATAGCTTAAGTTATTTCAAAGCTGTCGGCGTTATTTGTGAGTAGAGATGTTTTACCTGAGCTTGCGAGGTACCTTGATATGGTCTATTAATAGATTTGATGTATTCTACTTCTGAATCAGTTAAAACTTTCAAAAATTGTTGCTGGGCACTGACTTTGAACAATGGCTAAATGAATAATAACATAGGATTATTCGTTAGTAGGTTGTCCTAGCACAAACGTTGCCAAAAACAAAAGTTAACGACAATAATGGAGCACAATTATTAGAGAAACAACGACGACGACGACAACAACAACGACGACAACGGCAACAACGACGACAACGGCAACAACGACGACGGCAACGACGACGACGGCAATGACGACAACGACAACAACGATGACGACGACAACAACGACGACGACGACGACAACGGCAACAACGATGACGACGACAACAACGACGACGACGACAACGGCAACAACGATGACGACGACAACAACGACGACGACGACGACGACGACGACGACGACAACAACAACAACAACAACAACAACAACAACAACAACAACAACAACAACAACAACAACAACCGATGACAACAACGACAACAACGACAACGACAACAACGATGACAACAACGACAACAACGACGACGACAACAACAACGACAACGACAACAACGATGACAACAACGACAACAACGACGACGACAACAACAACGACGACAACGACGACGACGACGACGACGACAACAACAACAATAAGGACGACGACGACAACAACAACAACGACACAAACAAAAACAACGACGACGACGACGACAACGACGACGACAACAACGACGACGACAACGACAACGACAACAACAACAACAACAACAACAACAACAACAACAACATCAACAACGACAACAACAACGACGGCAACAATAACAACAACGACAGAAACAATAACAACAACAACAATGACACAACAAAAACGTCAACAGCAACAACGACAACAACATGAAAGACAAAAACAACAACCAATAAATTTAAAAACCTGTAACAATTGCAACATTAAAACCAGCAATATGACCAGCCACATTTTATAGCTACATATATGAAAATACATCTAGATATTATGTTACCTGATAACCGCCAATAGTTAAGGTGAACGTGGCATCAGTCGGAGTATTACTGGTATAAACTGAATTGATATACGACATGAACAACAATGGAAACCAAATAATGAGGATCAGTAAAAATACTAAGAAACCACCGACTGCCCATTTGTTGAGCGAAGGGTACTGAGCACCACGGTCATGGCGGAACCATGGGGTCTAAAGAAGGCAAAAAAATTAACAGTTATATAAAAAGTTGTGGTCAAGTCCGTTTGCACATGCGCGTGTCATAATCATCTTAGCTAAGCATGCTGGGTTTGGTCAAGCAGTGGCGAAGCCAGCCAGACAAACAAACAGAACGACAACTGGCCTCTGTAAGTTCAGTTGGTTAGAGCGCTGCACCGGAATCGCATGCTCGATTTCTGCCGGAGGACCTTGTGTTGCATTTTTTGACATTGTGTATATATATGCCCACTTGGATTATCCACCAAACCCAGAATTCTAGTTCAACCAAGTCAAGCGCAAAACACATCTTTCAAGTTAACTAAGCATGTGTATACCGTAATACAGACGTATACAGAACATTAATGGGCGAGCTACAAAATTAATTCAAGGTTGGCAAAGCTTTTGCTTTATTGGTAGAATATTGAGATAAAGAAAGGCTCAAGACCCAAAAAAACAATTTTACTGTGGGTGACTCAAGAATAATTAAAAACCATATTTTGCTGAAAAGCAAAATTCGAAAATCAAGAAAACTTATTTTACCTTTTCAGCCTTGCGATAACATTTCAATATGTAAATATTAGCATAAATATCCTCCATCTTGAGCCAGTGAAACAAGGACAGCGTACTGTCCGTGCAAACCCAGTCCAGTAAACTACGTAATTCCAACACGAACGGAATTGTTTGAATTCTGTGAAAAAATCGAGTTTTGCACTTAGAGTCTTAGATTATCATATTTTCAATCAAACGCAAAGGGGTGGAAAAAGTAACGAACACTGGGACCGTCGGTCCCAGAAAATATTTCCCCAAGAAAGAAAAAAAAGATACTTGCAAAAATTTAGATAAAAGGAGAAATTCTGAGGAAAAATTCCGACCAATAGAAAAAATGTCACCTGTACTGTATTGGTATGGTCTCAGAAATGCAATTATAGTGCATCCTTCTTAATAGTGCAATAGTGTATAAACGTATAAACTACAGAATATTGTATGGCAAATGCATCTGAAACACCTGATTTTTAAACTTTTCTGGGGGAGCATGCCCCCTAGATCCCTCTAGTAGCGCCCCCCCCCCCCAAGCAATAGCTCCCTTCCCCATCCTCGTCCCCAGGCGCTTTGGTTTGCTGCGCTTTGATTTGCTGCGCTTTGATTTGCTACCCGTACACTGCCTTGCGTCGCGCCACGAACCTGCGCGTCTGGGTTGGAGCCTGGGGACGAGGCTGTCCCTTCCCAGTAGTATCCTTTTTGGCATCCGTGAATTTACCTTAGGATCAGACCCCTATTTTTTCATTCAGACTATAGCATGACATTCAGTTTGACAACTTGTTAATGTGCCCGAGTGTCGATTCACTTGATTATTCACAGAAAATTTTTCAATGATTTCTTGCGGTCCCAGAAAAGTAAAATATCCCTCCCTCTGCAAACGCTATCAGCGTCTCTTTTCATAAACACAGAAACATAACAACAATTCCCAAAGGGTCGTTATTACTTACGCTTGAAAGAGAACGACATTTGTAAGCGTGAAATTTTTTGTGAGGAAATTTCCCAGAATCCTCGTGGGGTAACCACAGCGTACTTGATAAGCAGACAAGCCAAAGTATAAACATTTAAATAAATAGAGAAATATCGCGGGAACGTTGTCTTGAAATCGCCTAAAACGCACAAAAACAACATAAGATTACAACAATTGGGGGTATATTACAGCTTTCAATATTGTTCCAGCGAGAAACGATCGATTCACACTCCCAAAGAATTGTAAACAATAGGTCATAGATATCTTATATACACTAGATAGTGCATCTAATTATTCTGCAATTCAAAAATTGAAGCCGTGATTGCAGACACAGGATATTCCCATGAAATGAGGAGACTCGTAAGTTTTCTATTTCTTAAACAGGGAACTTAAACATTAAGTTAAACCTATTCCAAACACATTTTCAAACTATTCAAATGATGAAAGTTATTGTTGTTTTTTAAGCGTTTATTAGCGAGTGGGAAACTCCAACATGGTCGCCATCTATTCAAATGGGAGTAACCGCTGGAATATTCTTCGCTTCAATTTTACTAAAAGAGATGCGCTATCTAGTGTATATAAGATATCTATGGTCGCCATATGTATTACATGTGTAAAAATCTCACGGCTTGTCAATAAGATATATTCACACTGCTTGAACCCAGTTGTTGACAAGTTTGGAACAAGTTGTTATCATCTTGTAACAAGACTGGTGAGGCCAACAAAGTCGCAAAAAATTGTCCCATCGAGTCTGATATCGTCTGCACGTAACAAGTTCACGACAACAAGCTTGCAGAAACCGAATTGCATATCCGATAGAACCCGGCTAATCATGTTGTAAATAGCATTTCGAAAGAAAAATCATAAGCGTGTCGTATCTTTACGTGATAGAAATTTCCCTTGATTTACATAAACTTTAACTTTGATTTTCTCGACTTATACAACGTATTTTTTAAAAATTACTTCGCCAATGAACTTACTGGATCGATCGTTTTTGAAGCAATTTAAAACATTCGCAGTGTGTGTTTTATCAGACCTAAAGATACTTGGCTTCGCCTCGTATCTTTATATCTGATAAAACACTGCTGCTCATGTTTTAAATAGTACATACAATCCAATATACTGGAGGTACAATTCAAGGGAATTCGTAAATTATAAATCGCTTTTTACACATGAGAGACAAAACGGCTTGTGTGTCGGTACCATGCATCAATAAAAAAATGGACATAAAATTCTGTTTTACCTCCTAGTGAGAGCGGGAACAACAAAGAACATAAATATATGAAACGAGATGACCAGCACCACGAGATAAAATAATTTGCCAAGAACAAATTTGCGAAGATATAGAGCTCTAGGAAAAATAAAAAAAACCCAACATGACAGTACATTGATTAAAGACTATACTAGTCTGCTCTATGTTTCTGAGTGAAACATTTCTTACAAATCCTTCAAAACGTAGAATTTACCTATGCAAAAATTCCTACTGTGATCACAGAGATTTGATGGAGTAAACCAGTCTTACTCAAGGTTATATTTTAGTTAATGTACTGTTAAGTAGTTGTATATAACTGGGAAAACGTCTATCTTAAGCTTCAACACTTTCAAGGCCATTAACATGGTCTTCAGTACTTAACAAGCTTCATTACCTGTCAATCATGATAAGGACAAACTGAGTAAGCACCATGTACAAAAATGTTCTGGGAACGACATTCTTCTCAATGATCTGAGCAAAATTTGCGTCGGAACTCGGCTGAATGCAAAATATAAAGAAAAGAGAACCTTACACCTGAGCTGTTGATATAAACAACAGCGTCATAATCAGGCTAGCAAACAAGTTGTTACAAATCTGTCTACAAGCTGTCGACACGTTGTGTTCGCACTGCATGTTCCCAGTTGTTGTAACAAATTTGGAACAAACTGTTAACAACTTGCAACAAGTTTGGTTGTATTATCAGACTTGTTACACAGTTGTTCTATAAGATCTGGTTTGTTTAAACATCTAAACTATGTGCAAGAAATAACTATAAACGTCTTCCTTAACAATAAATGGTTTACGATTTATATGGAGTTCAAATATTTATTCGAAATGTCCAAGCGAAGCAGCAAGTTCTTGATTCGCCAACAAACAATTGTTCAAGTTCAAAATATTGAAAGTTCAGAAAGAAAGTTTTTAGTCAGTGCTTTTTGTGTATTTTCATTTTCTGCTTTTGTTTTAAGTACAGTAAGTGCATTGTATACTCGTTTGTATTTACAAAAAGAGCCGCCATTTTGTTTTTGTGCAATTAGTACATATATTGCATTCCTCTTAACCAATCAGATTGCAGTAATTTTTCAATGCACTATACGTACCTCGGCTTCAGCAAACGCAGACCAACTGAACAGAATGATGAGAAAAATGATAAACTGACAGCCAAACATCACGCCATACACATCAGTCGTCCCAGACCCAACGTCCTTGTCAACCATACGATGTATAAATGTGATCACATTGTCCATGATGCTACAGTACATATCAAGAAACATTGATAATAGTTAGATGATTATGATTAAAGTGCGACTAACCACTAATATGATTTTTGGTATGTGTAATATTTGGGTCATTCGAAAAAGAAATGTAATATTAATATCTTTATTATACAAAATCCCATCTTGATCAACTTTTTTCACTGTCAAAGTTTCCGAATATGATGTCATTAGGTGAATTGCAAATTAGTTTTCCTTTGTTTTTTTGACCAAAAATTCACCAAATGACATCATATCCGGAATCTTGGACGGTGAAAAAGTTGATCAAGATGAGGTTTTTTACTATAAAGATACATTACATTTCTTCTCAGAATGACCCAAATATTACACATACTATAAATTATATTTGGGGTTAGTCGCACTTGTTAGGTTGAATAAATGTATAAAATTCACATTTGAAATTACCATCTACAGAATCCTTGAACAATTAATATAAATACCCTTTCTGTTTGGCTTTGTCAACATCTTGCTGTTCTCTGTCTTCTTCCTACAATAGATTGAGTTTGAAATTACGCAGCTCGGCGACTAAATACCAAATTTTATCTAGAAAAACAGCTCAAAATTTCTCTAAAGAAATTGCAAATGTTATCATAATTAAATACAATGTTGGCATCGTTTCCTATACCGACTGTAAAAAGCGACACTAAAGGTCCATACACACCGGACGCGATTGGACAACGCGACGCGATTTTTCGATTTTCACTGACCGATAACTTTGATCCTAGTTAAAATTTTCCAAATATTTAGAAGCGGTATAACATTTTGAGTTATTTGGTCTACATATCTTTCAAAATTTCCTCTCATTGGCTATTTTATTAACTTTCAAAAACTAAAAAATCGCGTCGCGTTGTCGAATCGCGTCCGGTGTGTCTGGACCTTAATCCAACGTTTACATCTTACCATTAAAACAATACCATCATCCAATCTTACATCCTCTTCAGGGACAACTGTCGCCAAATCTGTAAAAACAAGACAATTTCTCCTTAAATTCTTGTATATTCACTATAGTACATTCTACTTTACTTGATATTTTCGGACATGCCCTTTTAACGCATATTCGGATGTGGATAGTGCTTTTGTTGCATAGCTCGGAATATTATTTAAAGCTAATTCTGATGAATAAAATTTCTAAAAGCTTGTAAATACTGGTTCGTTTACAACTACTCCAGGAACTGTAATACAAATTGTTTATTTTCGTTCCCTTTTGGTAATTTTTGTTTTGTTATGGTATATGCTAAAAGCCTAAAACAATTCACCTTGCATGCACTATTCACCATATACAATTGTTATTTCAATCAAGTACTCACCAGTTTCAGTAAATGGCGATGAACTATTATCAACAGCATTCCGGGACTCCGAGTCAAATCTACCTCTCCACAAACCGTGTGCCTAAATATTAAAAATATACCAATAGTTCCTATAGTGTAGATTGGGGATAAATATATTTGTTCTAAAGTCTGTTTTCGTGGAACACCACGACTATTCAGGGGCGTAGCCAAGGGGGGGGCAAGGGGGGGCGGTCGCCCCCCCAATCGCAAAAAAACTATTCTCTGAAAAAGGCTAAATCCGTAGAGAAATGGGGGGGGGGGTACACGTTACATCCTCGAAGCTGAAACGGATTAAGTACGTCTCGACTGAGGAAAACGACGAAATACTGGAAGAACTTGATTTCTAAAATCTCGTTAAAACAGTTGTAGATATGGTTCCAAGAGGAATAGATTTAGTTTAGATGTATATGCATTTACATGTATATGCATTATGATAACATGAATATTCTTCTCAGACTTATTCTGTATCATATATAAAAGCGAGTAGAAACTTAGAAATGTCTGGGAAAATTTATGTCTTCGACGTACTTTATAATCTTGGGATTCTGCAAGATTTCACCCCCAAAATGCTTGAAATCACATTTCAGGGACTCTAAATTTTAAAATTTTACCTGGGGTGCATGCCCCCGAACCCCCCTAGAGCGTACTTTATAATCTTCGGAATTCTGCAAGATTTCACCCCCAAAATGCTTGAAATCACATTTCAAGGACTCTAAATTTTTAAATTTTCCCTGGGGTGCATGCCCCCGAACCCCCCTAGAGCGTACTTTATAATCTTCGGAATTCTGCAAGATTTCAGCCCCAAAATGCTTGAAATCACATTTCAGGGACTCTAAATTTCAAAATTTTCACGGGGGTGCATGCCCCCGGACCTCCATAGATGGTCTCGCGCCTTCGGCGTTCGCTTCGCCCCCCCAAAAATGAAGGTCTGGCTACGCCACTGACTATTCACTTTTTATATTTTAACAATACTCTTTACATTTGTTCCAAAAACATGATACACTCGTTCATGATCGTTTGTTAGCCCAATGCTCTACTGTATCAACTGAGCTACGAGGTCAAGTCGAAACAAAAAATATACGTTATGTTTTCCACAAGTCAACACAACTAAAAACACAGATAGTTTCCACGTAATGATCACAGGGACCTATTGATATTCTCACCTGCAATACATAGCGATGGAAGAAAAGCGCCAACAACAACAGCAAATCGTACGCGGTCGTCGCTCCGTCTCGTTCAATTTCAAATATCCGTGCCGGACACAACGGATCGTTCCTCAGTTCCACGGTGCTACTGCAATCGTTGAAATGAATAAACTCAAATTTAAAAATATACTTGATGATGATAACAATCTGTGTGTACGTTATAACCGTAATCCAGAACATTTTGGTCGGTCGTGGAATAGATAACATCCCCCATAGGAAGATAAACAATGGGAAGGCCATGGATAAAACCGAAGCGTAGACCACGTGGTTGATGATCATTATAAGCAAGCATAAGTAGTTAGTTTGTGATATGATGGCGTAGTATAACGCTCTGATAAATTTCATCAAATGCCAGTTTGGTATGGGACCTTCGACTGTGTCGACTTGCTCTGTTGTGATGCTCGTCCAAGATATTGAATCTTCTTGCAGGTTGATTAACTAAAAGAAATAATTTAGATAAAACTTGTTGAACTTCAGGGGCCGGTTGTATAAAACTCTTAATTACTTTTTAATCACTATTTTGTAGTTAAATAGTGATTAACTCTCAAATACGCGCTTCTTATTGGATGACGTTTCCACTAACTATAGTTAACTTTAATCACTTTTTTATACAACCGGCCCCAGACAATGCTTCCCTAAATAGACCTATTTCCTAATGAACAACATTTTGATCTAGACAAGTCTAGACAAACATTTCACCACAGCTTGAAAGGGCATCACAAAATTAGTAATATTCCGAAGTTTCGTTGCGAAATGTTGTAAAATGTGGATAATATAGCACTGCGAAGTTTGCCGTTTTTCAGTCATTTTGTATTACACACGGGAAATTGATACCGCTTTCTGAAAAAGGTATCAATTTCCCGCGCGTAATACAAAATGACTGTAAAACGGCAAACTTCACAGGGCTATATTATCCGCATTTTACAACATATTTCGCAACGAAACTTCGGAATATTACCAATTTTGTGATGCTCTTTCAAGCTATGGTGAAATGTTTGGCTAGACTTGTCTAGATCAAAATTTTGTTCATTAGGGAATAGGTCCATTCGTTTACTATTGGAGCTTTGAATAGAGTAATTAAAAATATACTACTATACGCTGGTCTGTGCCAGTGTAGTCTGGGGGTCACATTTGGCACGAAGAAAAAGGTAGGTAGTTTGTTTGAAGGTAGCATGTCCAATTCTTGGGTTTGATATGGGGGGGGGGGGGGGGGGGGGGTCGACTCTAAAACAAAACACAGTTATCAGAGTGAGTCGATTGTTCGTTCTATGTATTAGCCTTGTGTTTGGTGGCAAATACATGGAATTTCGTATCATTTTCTCACTCCAGTACAGCATAAGCATCAATACATTTGAAGTTGACCCCCCGTCAGATTCACTGCATAATGCCGTAGTGAAACCCAAGGATAGCTGTTCAATATCCTGGGTATATATATATATATATATATATATATATATATGGTACGTACTCCAGAATACAGGGTGTATAAAAAAAAAGGTAATCGAACTTCAGCGCGCTATTTTATGTGAATTACTCGGCGTATTAAGAACAATTGGTTTTCATATTCGGAAAGATCAGGCCTTTAGGCTATTGAATGACATGCTTTTCATACCAAGTGGAGAAAAAATAAGCATGTACGAGGCCGATCATAAACGTTAGTCAAAATCGCATATTTTCACCTCTGTGCCTAATTAAAACAATGCATAAACAAAAGAAAAAGCAATTAATCACGAACGTGTTGTAGCTCAGCTAAGATTTCTACTTAATAATAATTATGAATATGTGCGTCGTTTATTGAAGTGAAATTCATCAACTTAAGTACCAAAGGCGGGTTCATTTTCAATGGTTTTAGACCCAACTCTCAACGGTGAAAATATGCGATTCTCACTAACATTTTTATCGGATTCGTATTTGCTCATTTTTTATCCATTTGGCACGAAGAAGATATCATTCAACAGCTAAAAGCATGATCTTTCCGAATGTGAAAAATCTCGTTCATATGCAGAGTAATTCAGATACAATAGCGCGCTGGAGTTCGATTACCTTTTTTTTTATTCACCTTGTGTATCGGGCTCATGGATATGCAGGCTATCATAAGATTGCGTTTTGATCACTCATACGTGTACAAATTACTGTAGCACACATCACTAACCTTCGCATCCACAGAATCGTCATCGATCGACTCTGACACCATCATATCACGCGATCTATAATCCCTTATGCTGTCCTTCAGTCTCTTTTCCCGCCTAGCTTTCTTCAGTTGCCTAGCAACGGCTCGATAGTCCTTGCTCAGTTCATTAAGATAACCAATGAGTTTATCCAACACCCATTTCCCATAGAACAAGAATAAACATAGCACAGACTTCAGTTTCTGTACGACAAGGGCGACTTTAGTTTGGGAAGTGTTAGTTTGTGAGTCTGTTGGTTGCTCTTGTTCTTGTTCTTGTTCTTGTCCAATAGACGTTTCTCTTTCGCTTTGTTCCTCATCATCTTTTGCACTGGTATCCGATTTTTTTTCACTTTCTAAAATAAAGTACAATAGACCTTACCGATTATTCTCTTTTATCCAATGGCCTCGTTTCCATGTTAACTTATTTTAGCATCTCAGGGGCAGATAAAGATTGATATTCCCATGTTTTCCTGTACGAATTTGTTTCTTGCTGTTCTTAGGCTCAATAACAAAGTAATTTTCAACCCTACTAAGCACAAACCATGAGTAAGTATTGACAAGAAAACGAGGCCATTGGGTGAAAAGTGAATAAACGGTAAAGTCTATTATCGTATCAAAGAGAGGAGGTTCAATCTGAGTATCCCTTGAGTGTCAGTGCTGTTTTTGAATAGCTCAAGGTGACTATACTTACTCTCCATCTATTCAAAAAAGCATTGACACTCAAGGGAAGCTCAGATTGAGTATTTTGAGCATGAGTGCGAGTGAGCTTTTAGAATACTGGCGTACATTCCGATCACAGGAGCCTCGATACAACATCTCTATTCCACGTTAAAATATCAAAAAATAATTCATGAGAAAGGCACAAAAGAAATAAATGTTTAATGAACGTTTGTAAACCGGATAATGATTTGTCCTGATTGACATAAACTTCAGCTTTGATTTTCTCGGCTTAGACAATGTTTATTTTTAAAATTACTTCGCCAATGAACTCGTAAAATGGATCGTTTTTTTAAGTACGTCAAAACATTCGCATCCGATCTTTATCGATCGGTTGCTCATGTTTTAACTAGTACTTAAAACGATGAGCATGCTGATGAGCATATCAGTGTTTTCAAAAAATGCCAACAAAATTTACAGTACAAACCGTTAACTTCACTCGAGCCTCTGTGACTGTGATGTTGTGGCGAGTCGTCAGGACTGCTGTCAGAATCAGTATCTTTTTCTTCGCTGCTTTCAAACAAATAGTAATCACCACAATATATCGCTGAAGAAAGGGAAGAACAATCGTTATACTTGTTGCAAACACGTAAATAGTACAATTAATAATTCAAAATGTTTAAGAACGAACTTTCTCTAAGCCTCATGTTAATAATATATTTCGTGTTCAATGTGTAAACCACATCAACAAACGACGCTTTGGAGATTTACTCCATCTTCAGGTAAATAAGATTACAATTAATAAATCATGAAGAAAACACAAAATATATTATGACCGTGAAGTAGTATGTATATCTGATACAGAATCATGCTGATTCACATTATAGGGACTGGTCATTATTTACGAGTTTAGGGGTGTGGCACCGGAGAGAAAAGGGTTAGGTAAACAAAATTTTGAGTGAATAAAAGATTGAGTAAATCAAAAACAAAACAACTCAAGGGTTGGGTAATAAAACTTTATTGTCATTTCCAAAGCAAGACTCACTCAAATATTAGAGTGACTAAAAGCAATGTCAATACAATTTGTAAAATTAAACAATCGCGGAGTCATCTTGATCATTTTCCGATTTAATATTTATCAAGAGGCAAATGGTGTCTCCAAAGAAAGTACATGTGCAGACAACATGAAATTTTAGACTGCAGAAAATTGCACAAGCAGTTACCAAACTCATATCACAGAAGTGGTAAAGGACATGTGTGACAACTGAATGATATTCTTTTGTGAAATTTTTGGCCATGGGTGGGTATTTACTTTTAATTGATACTTGAGGTTGGGTACTTTTTAATGGTTGGATCAACAAAATGTTTACCAAAAAACAAAACACGTCTCTTGGGTGCCACCCCCTCCCCCATAAATAATGATCGCTCCCTAAACTTTACGTTCAATTTTTCACCATATGTCATTCATTTATTTAAACTTTTTGAAGAATACGAATGTTCTCATCAAGACGTTTCACAAGCCATGAACATCATTCATGTCCGTGTTATATCGCGGGTACATAGTATAGTATCATCAATATATTTTATATCAGGGTAGTTTTAAACTGAACTTATTATAATTTTTAATATTATCTCTGTAATATCTCGTTTTTTAAATTCCTATATGAATTTACAACGTGATGATAATTAAAAAATCTAATATAAAAAAGTAGTAGAACAAATTAAAATTATATTGAACTGTGCAGACAGGGCGAAGGTGTCTTTAGGTATTTTCAAAAGATTTCCTACAATCTTTACACATGAAAATATTTTAAAAGCGTCAGTACCTTCGTAATGTGACTGGGGATCTTGTGCTCTGTGTTGTAATGCACGTTTGTTCTTCAATTTCTTTACACTAAACGATCAAAACAAAAAAAATTAACACATCGGTTCAAAAAGCGAAAGAATCACGTCCTGTTGTGAGTAACTTCGTTTCGTCCTCTAACTAGTTTCGTCCTCTAGCGATCCTAGTCTACAGTAGTATTTATCCATTTTGTCTGCATTCTTTGATAAAAATTATGAGCTTAAAGGACATTGGCAATAATAAAATGAGTTTGTCTCATTCAAAAGAACCCTTTAAATTATGTATCAAACTCTATTACCGATTTGTCTTAGCTTGCTTAGTTAGTCGGTGGGGCCACCTGTGGTGCCCACCGACTCTAGGTTTGCCCTTTGGTACGCCACAAAATGACAAATTACGTCATTTTAATTACGTAATTCAAAATGGCGACCATGGAATAGCGTGCTTTTGAGCAAAAGTTCGCTATTGAATGTTTGGTCTAATCCGAGTCGTGTCTTTTCTTTTGGGTTTTTTGAAAGAAATATATTAAGAATTCACTAAACGTTATCACGACGTTTCACTGTTATGTTATCAAGGAGGGAAGTGGATAATTTGTACATAATCTTATATATTTA